CCCCCACTTCCAACCCCTTCCATGTCTGCCCTTTACACCCTCTCAAATTTTTGATCTTCTCTTTTTTAATTATTTGATATATATATACATACACACACATACATACATGTATATATATGTGTGTATATATATATGTGTGTGTGTGTGTGTGTGTGTGTGTGTGTGTGTGTGTGTGTGTGTGTATGTATATACCCTATCTAGGAGCTCATCTCTGGAGAAAACTCGTTCTCACTTTCTCAGCAGCCATTGACTTCCTGTAGCTCTTCATCCAGGGGGAGGACCCTATGAAATTTCCTCATCTACATCAGCATACTCCAACATTTCTAAGTTTCCTAACATGAGGAAAGTTGGGTAACCATCCTGCAATTCTGTATCCTTACCCAGACAATGAAAGCAGTATTACCTCCCTTGTAAGTTTGATATAGTTTTCAGTGTGCACAGTGTGGACCTGGGCATAACAAGTCTGAAATATTATCATCAACTTCGGTGTGGATTAGTTCTAATTAGCTCTCTAACAATCCCGTTGGGGTGGAAATAAGCCATCTTTCAGCTCTGTGAACTGACTCATAGTGATGGATTCTACCACCTCTCCTTGCCTCACCCTTTGGGGTGTGGTGGAGTCCACACTGAGAGACAGTGGAGTACCCTGGGGAAGCAGGTATTTCTGATTCAGCAGAACAGGAATCGAAGTTTGTCTTCATCACTTTAGCTTTCCTGTCTTCAAAGGAGTTAAAAGTAGAGACACCTACCTTATGGCATCACTACACATTTCAATAAAACAATGCATGGGCTGAGAGAGGCAACCACGAACATTCCTTACCATGTACGGGGCACCATTTCAAGTACCTTGAATTAATTAACTCACTGAAGCTTCACTATGACTCGAGCACATTAGAGTTATTATCTTCAATCTATATAACGAAGAAGCAGAGGCCCAGGGAAACCAGAATCTCACCGGAATCAGTTGAATTTTAAGGTAAGTTTGACAGAGTTAAAGTTGAGACAGGATCCCTTGATTCCAGGGTCTTAACTTTAGATCCCCCAATGTCTACTGGAACCAAGTGCTTATCAAATACTTGTTGTTACTATAACCATCAGTACATATTTACTGGAATATTTAAAATCAATGTTTTCTGAAATGTTTATTAGTTGTTAATCAATGTTGGGAGAGCAATTCAAGATCGGCTCCAACTGAGCACCACATCAATATTATTATGTTCTGATTTGAGGTCTGTTTGAATTGCAACAAGAATATATAATATAATCGAATATACACATGAGATGGTTTAGCAGGTGAAGGCACTCGCCACCAAGCCTGAGGTGTTGCTGGAGAGCTTCTCTCCAGGTTCCACCAAGCCCCACAGTCCCACAATCCACGTATAAAATAATCACTCAGATGCTTATATTACTTATAAACTGTATGGCTGTGGCAGGCTTCTTGCTAACTGTTCTTATATCTTAAATTAACCCATTTCTATAAATCTATACCTTGCCACGTCGCTTATGGCTTACCGGTGTCTTTACATGTTGCTTATCCTGGCCATGGCTGCAGTGTCTCCCCCTCCTTCTTCCTGTTTCCCCAATTCTCCTCTCTCCTTGTCCCGCCTATACTTCCTGTCTGGTCACTGGCCATCAGTGTTTTATTTATATGGAGCGATATCCACAGCACTGAGGTACTGGCTGGTTTTGTGTGTCAACTTGCCACAAGCTAGAGTAACCAGAGGAAGGAGCCTCATTTGAGGAAATGCCTCCATGAGATCCAGCTGTAAGGCATTTCCTCAATTAGTGATCAATGGGGGAGGGCCCAGCCCATGGTGGATGGTGCCATCCCTGGGCTGCTGGTCCTGGGTTCTATAAGAAGGTGGGCTGAGCAAGCCAGAGGAAGCAAGCCAGTAAGCAGCACTCCTCCATGGCCCCTGCATCAGCTCCTGCCTCTGAGATCCAGCCTTGTTTGAGTTCCTGTCTTGACTTCCTTTAAAGATGAACAGAACTACTGAAGTGTAAGCCAAATAAACCCTTTCCTCCCCAAGTTGTTTTTGGGTCATGGTGTTTTATCACAGCAACAGAAACCCTAACAAAGACATCTGATGAACTGAGTCTGATCCCCAGAATCCACATGGCAGGGGGACCAGTTCCCACAGATTGTCTCCTGACCTCCACAAGAATACTGTGGCATATGTGCATACCCCCCATAAAATAAATAAATTGATAAATAAATAAATACATGCATTAATTTTTACAAAATTTTAGCAGTTAAAATCCATTGTTCTAAGCTTATGATTATATTGCCTGAAATGAAGTAAAATTTTTGAATAAAATGTAAATTTTCTCCTAATGTAAACTAATCATATAGGAGTCTGTTATTTGAAGGAAGAATACCATTTTGTAACAAAATGGCTTACTTTGTTTATGAAGCAAGTCCTCATTCTTGGGGAGACTAGCTGGATGACTAGCAGATAAAGAAAGATGCTTGCCACCAAGCCTGATGACCTGAGTCCAATCCCTGGGAACCCCATGGTCGAAGGCGTGGAAAAAGAAAGCACTGAAATATTTGCTCACAGATAAAGCAAGCTAGTAACATCCGTAGTTCTTAGTCTACAGTTTCAGATGTCTTCAGAATTTTTGGAGGTGCTTTTTAATTAATATAATTCTTTCCCTGCCTTATTGAATAATAGAATTGCTTGGATAGCTTTCAAATACACTCATGCTTAGGACCCAAGAATTCCAAAGTGACTGATATGGGATCAGCTCAAGTCCACTTGGCCCCATATCCATGGGTTCTTCAAACTTGGATGCAGTCAAGTGCGTATAAATAATACTTGAAAAAACTATCAGAATATGTAGTACAGTCTTTTTGCTATTGTGTATATATATATGATAGTTATTTTCATGACATTTGGTTGAATCAGTTTTATAAATGATATGGAGACAACTGAAAGTATACAGGAGATGTATAAGAGATCTTATGCGGATATACAACAGATTTGAGTATCCTTGGGTTTTGATATATGTTTTAAATTGTGTGTGTGTGTGTGTGTGTGTGTGTGTGTGTGTGTGTGTGTGTGTGTGTGTGTATTATCCACAGAGACCAGAAGAGGGCATCTGATATCTGATTCCTCTGGAGCTGGAGTAGAGGCAGTTATGAGCCACTGATGTAGGTGTAGATGTAGGACCAAACTTAGGTCCTCTGCCAGAGCAGTACAGGCCCTTAACCACCGAGCCATCTCTCCAGCACAGATTTGGGTGTCTTGAGGAGGGGGCCCTGGACCCAATTTTCCATCAATACTTAAGCATAGGTAACTGCATTCTGATCGGAAAGTCAGGTTGGAAAGCTCCAATGATGTCAGTGTCTGCTTCTGTCCAGACACAAAGGCATCCACGGGGACCTCTGCTTTTGCATTTGACCAACAACCAAGACTCTCCGCTTGGCCGGAAGTCAGCAGGAACCTTCTATAAGACCCATCTGCAAGCTTTTGTTTCGTGCAAATTTCCTCAAAGAACTCCGTTCTGTCAGTTTAGCCTCAACACCAGACCATCTTCAGTACCTGGGCAGTTCCCTCCTCTTCCATGGACGCCCTCCCACCCGGCCTCATGACTGATCACGTGGTCTGCCTCAAGGAAGAATCTTGTTAGTCCAGAAGCATTTTGACAGAATCCCTCTCCTTGCTGATGCTTCCCTGAGTAATTCTGCACCCACTGACCCCATATTGCCCACTGGCTACACATCCACATTTGCTCATGCTTTGGGGAGTTGAGCCCAAACTTCGCCATTACAAGACTCTTTTAAGTGGGGCTCACAATTTCCCTACGGTGTCCTGGACTAGCCGCCTTAACCGTTATTAAACAACTCCTTCCTCCTTAAGGCGCACTCTTCTTCGCTATTAAGATAATGGAGGACAGGGTACTGAAAGCTGCAGCTCCCTGCCAGGACCTTGGCTGATGGAACCAATGAGGAGTATGGTTCATGCTGTTCGGTCTACTGTGATCCTGGCAGCAAACCAGTTCAATGACTCCAGACCTAAACACTGCCAAACTGCCCTCAGAGACGCTCTTGCCTCTAGAACACAAGAGTATGAGGTCATGAACCCCCTTACTTTTTTTTTTCTTTAAGGCTTTCATGTATTTAAAAGACACCACAGAATTCCTTAGTGTGAAGTAAGGTGGTCCTGATGGCGTTAATGCAACCCATTCCCTCTGTGTGATGCTTCCAAAGTGGACTCCTGGGTGCTTCCTTCCTCTCTGCCCCTCGCTCCACATCTGACCACATCTGATCCTTTACTCTTATTCTTAAACGATCCTCTAGAGTTCTCTGGACTCCTCTAGCGGACACCCGGAGCACACAGAGGAGGAGGCCAGCCCTTAATTAAGCCTGGCGCCCGGTGCGGCTGGGGCGGTACAGACCTATCGCTGACCTCGGAAATCCAGGATACGGTTATCAATCTGGAGGTCGGGGGGGTGGGGGTGGGGGGCTTGTGAAGCTTTCTCGCCTTTGAAAGCCAATCCTCCTGCCTCAGCCCTTGCATTGCAGGGATACAGAGTCTCCACCGAGCCACCACCTTACCGCGCGTCCCCGTCACCCCAGCCCGCACTTGTGAACCAAAGGACGCGAGCCCACGGCGGGAGTCCCGAGGAACCCGCTCCCCCAGGGAGACGAGCGCAACGATCCGGAGCCTGCACAACAGGTCCTCTGGGCACCCTCCATGGTGAGGAAGTGGGAACGACTGACTGCAGGAAGGGGTAGTGCAGAGAGGGATACGATCTCTGCAGGAGGGCTACTCGGTTTCTGGGTCCCCAGCCCCTTCCCTGGTCCCCAGCCCCGCAGCAAATTCCGAGTTAAGCTAGGGATGCAAGCGTGATCCCGAAGGCGCGCGTAGGCGCGGAGTTCCACACGCGTAGGCTGTCCCTGTCGGTCCAGGAGTAAAGTTAGCTAGTGCAGGAAGAGAGTCTTCTCTGTGCATCTCAGGACCAGACCTCGGGGGAGGGGACAGGCGACCACCCACCTTGTGCCTGCGCCTCCATGGTGGACGCCGACGTGGAGCTGAGAGCCGCGGGGGACGCGCGGACGCCTGGTGGAGCAGATGGCAGCGGTGCCCGAGCTCGGGAGACAGCGAAGCCCCGCCGCTCTCGTGCCCTCTCCCGGCGCGCGTGTCGCGAGCTCTGCGTGGAGGGGGCGGGGGACTGCGGGCGAGCTGCCACCGCTGGCCGCCGCTGGTTACCTCCGCCCCTTCCAGTCCACCTGGTCCACGGAGCGCTGCCAAGAACCACAGGTCGGGCGCCACCTGCCGGCCGCTCGCCGCACCCGGCGGCAGGCTTCCCCTCCGGCTGCACCCATGCATGCCCTGATCAACAACCAACTTGGCCCAGAGACGGGCAATGCAAGGGACAAATGCCTTGGCCAGAGGAAGGTCGGGAGTGTTAGGGGTGCGTTACTGAGCCATTGGTCCCGGTGGAGATAGTAGTGTTAGGTTCCTGGGAGCCCCAGTGCCATATTTTTGTCAACTGACCATTACATAACTTTGTTTTATATGCCTGTTTGAAGAAACCTTCCTTAAAATGTTGTTGGTTCATTTAACATTGAGCACACAGCTCTATAACTCGGACCAAAAGGCAGTTTACTAAGGTTATGTCATGTGTATACTTCCGCTGTAAAGTTCTGCACACCCTATGGCTCTTAGGGACATGCGAGTGATGTGCGTGGATCCAGCCTTCTGGGAAAGTAAGGAACAGAAGCAACAAAATGAGCTGGAATCATAAGGTTGAGCAGTCCTGTCTGGCTTCCTGACGGGGGGGTGGGGGGGGAGCGGGACTATAGTACTTTGAGACTTTTGTTTATGACGCCAAATGACCAAAAAGACGTGCCCGGATAACGGAGTTCAGTGTTAGAAGTAAATCTGAAGTGAGGAAAAACGTAGAAACACAGACCTAAGACACGTTAACAGGACATATGCCTTGTTATCCAGAACCTTGCAGGCTGTGCCGCTGGGTTGGTCCTTTTCAGCGAAAACTAAAACTTCAGTCCTGTGCCGAGGCTTGTCTGAGGACGGGACTGATTGGAAAGCCAACAGAGAGTCTTGACTTACAGCTCACACCTCACCTCTACCAGTCTACCTACCAGGAATCCTTCCCCCTTCTCAGCATCTCACCAACTTCCGTGAAATAAAATCTAGCATTTTCTGATGCTTGGTCTTGAATAGTTTGTGTGAGAGAGTGTTATTCTCTTTCTTTAATGAATTCATGAGGAAATCTGGTGAGATTGAAGATGGTTTTTGTAGTAAATCTCCCATAATTCCTGCCAAAGGGCCTCAAGCAGATTTACAAGTCCAAAAAGATAGTGAATAAGCAATCAGTAAGCCATATTTTATCCACACCCAAGTTACTGTCAAAGTTCCAGCCTAGTAAATATGAATGGAATCATATACTTTTCCTCAGGGGGGAGAAAAAACCAAGCATACTGATGACTTCTTGGCATGTACACAAACATGTCAGAGTTTGTTTTGTTTTTCTCGGTTTTGGGTTGAAGATCTCACAGGTATGTAATCATTTTCATGACATTTACCCTAAGGACTGTTAGTGAAAATGACCAGACAGGTATAAAGTGGCAACTGGGTGATTAAATCGCTTTTAGAATCTGCTCAGTTGTTCTGGTCCTTCTTAATCCTAGAAATTAAACATCGGGTTATATATAGTTGACTCCCAGCTGTTGAAATGAGCTAAAAGTAGTTCCTGACTCTTCTGCTTAAGTCATCTATCGTCATCTGAACTCTGACTCATTCTGATTGCTAAAACTTTAAGCTACTGCCCCTTCGACATTTTGATCATTTTTTTTTATATGATCATAAGACTTGGCTTTCGTTCTGTGTGCCAGGGATTTGGCCAGATTCCAAGGCAACAAATGAAGGACACAATTCTCCCCATCCTTTTCAAAAGGTTCATGATTTATTGAGAAGGAAAGATAAACAGATCCTTCATGAAGCAGTGTGAGGTGCTGAGGGCCGTGCAAGGCTAGCCCAGTATGCCCGAGTTCACTGCCAAAGACCTCAATAATCAGACCCTAGAGAGGAAATTTCTTTTACCTCAGCTGAGTCTTGAAGCAAGACAAATTATCCAAGTAAGTTGTATTATCCATGTATTTGTTACCATGATTGTCACTGTGACCAGATACCAGACAAGAAGCAATTGAAGAAGAGCTCCGTCTTGTCATAAAGTGTGAGGTGACATGTCCCGCGATGGCAGAGACAGGGGGTGTGTATATGGCTGTACCAGGAGAAGGGTGAGGCTGTTTGCTTGCATTTCAGCAGGCCAGGGGGGTGGGGGAGAGGGAGGAGAGCAAGTCTATCAGATGTGGCTTTGCTATAACCCACAAGGCCTGCCTTCCTCACTTCCTTCCTCCAGCCTAAGCCCCTCCCCTCAAAGACTCCACGGTCTTGCAAGTTGGTATTACCAGCTGGAGACAGAGTTCTAACACAGGAACTTCTGGAGACCTTTTTACCTTCAAACCGTAACACCACCAACCTGTGGCTTAGCTGAGAGAATATGACTCAAGTCAACACGTCAGAGGCTGACAGTTCAAATCTTTCCTTTTTTTCCTCTTATGATCATGGAGTTCCTCGGCCTCTTGATATCTTAAGCATCACCTCACCACTCATGTTCCTTATCTTTTTAGCTGCTACACATGGAGCGCAACACCCAGCTGTGAGTCTGAGTCAATGCATTCTGGATCACTCTGAGAGGGTCATTCTGAAGGGGCAATGATGAGGCAGACGGCGACAGTGTCCAAGGGGAAGGGGAACTGACCTGAAGCATCTCTAGGCCACTGACAATGCACAGTGCCAAGAGTGTCCATGGGATATGGGTAGGGAAGAGAAATGAGATGAAAGATTGGAAAGGACAGGAAAAATATTGTTGTTCTGAGCCAGAATCCCAACTAATAAATAGATAGAGAGCCAGAGCTTTGGGGTGCTGTTAGATTCCCACTCTGAAAAATGCCATCTGTACAGCCCAATGTAAGTTTCTTAACCTGTCTGAGCCTGGCTTTCTGCATTTGGTGGTATTCACTGATGTGTTTGTTCTCAATTTCCTGTTCCTTTGTCATGTTTCTGAAGCACTGATTCCCAGTTCCCTGAGAGGACCAAACGGGGGGCTTTGCATCCTTTCTGTTCCTGGGCTCACACTCCAGATAATCTCATTTAATTTATATTTAGAAAGCTCTCTGGATAATGTTGATGTTCTCCCAAGATTGAGAACAACTGTTGGAAACTGTCCACAGCAAAGATGAAAGGAACCGATTCTCTGGTTTAAATGAAAATGCTGTCACTCAAGTAAATAGAAATAGAGAGAAAGAAATTCGAGAAAAAAGAGCAAAGATGTTTGCCCTTAAATGCAGAGGAATGGGAGAGGGCAGAGAACCTGGAAAAGGCGGAGGTGAGCAGAGAAGATGCAGACATGCGTCAATCTGTGTGTCTCACCCTACGTCCTGTGTCAATCCGTGCCAGAGAAGGCGTGGACCTGACAGCTCTAAGATGACCTTCCACTCCCGCTTTTTGTAACCCTGTAATGGACAGAGTGCTTTTTATAAGTTCCAGCCCCTTCAAGCAGGATAGAGAAACAACTGGGACCTTCCCTGAGAATCACATGGGTTGTGAAGTTAAAGGGAGAGAGAATCCAACCAAAAAAACATCCTGAGGTGAAAGGAAAAGTATCAGCTCAGGACCCCCAAGACTAAGTTCTCAGCACAAAGGAGATTTATTTGCCCAGAGGGACAGAGGGCAGGGAATAAGAGACAAAGACAGGAGGCAGAGGATGAGGGAGAAGGGGAAGGAGACAAGGGAGACAGGGAAGGAATATCTGTCCCTGAATGAACAAAGGGCTTCCTCTGGATAGAGAGGAAACAGACATGGCACACAGGGAAATGGCGGTTTATAAAGGTAGAGGGGGAAACCCCGTGTTAGGAAGAGGAGTTTGGTTTTAATTTGGGCATGTTAATTAGGCGAGCCAAAGGGGGCTTTGGATTGATGGACTTTAATTCTTTGATAGCTGGACCTTGGTAGTCAGCCTTCGGAGGAGGAAGTGGCCAGATGAGGGAATAGACCTTGGGGGCTATCTTTAGGGATGTCATCTGATGGTTTCTAGCAAGGCAGAGGGGATGGGGGAGAAGAACAAGGCCTGCCAGAGCCATGCCCACCATGCTTAAGTGGGCCAGACTTCCTTCATGTGAGGCCTGGTGAAGGATGCTTGTGGAGCCACAGAATTCCCGACTGAGAGAAGAGAGGCTACAGGAAAGGGAGAGGAAAGTGGTGTCTGGCTTGGACCTTTGCCTCCCAAGGACTTGCTGACCTCTCCTGCCGGTGAGTCTGAATAGGGCAAAAGGAACTGAGGAGAGACCACAGGAGCTCCTGAAGAGGGGGCCATCGCTGCTTTTTCTTTCTATCGCCACAAACCTTCCAGTTCTGGGGAGGAGAAAGAATTGACGTCCACCAGCCACGCAGCTGTCTATGGAGGCCAGGGGAGATGTGTGGGCCAGGCTTGCCAGGACCACCAAAATAGGGGACCAAGAGGTGAAGTAAACATCAGATGAGAAGGATGAAGGCTGTCTGTCAGCCTAGGACTCGCCAGGGTCTTGGGGAGTTAGTTGCTGGTGAGTAAACAGTCTCCCAGCACCATCAAGCTAAATTATGGATTCGCTTGGGGTTTTTCCTTCCCTGAAGTGCCTGCTCTGCTCACATAGCAAAGAGGAACTGTTGTTACCTCAAAGGGAGAAGGGCAGTAGGACCTGAAAA